AGAGACAGCGATCTCTTGGATTTTACCTTCAGTGTAATGGAGAGAGTGAATCTACATCTTGGAGTTGTTACGCTGTTGCTGAGCTGCGTCTTCTTTCTTGCAAAGAAGGACAAGAACCATTTAGCAGAAAAATTGAACACCTCTTCAACAGTAAAGAGAATGACTGGGGCTTTCGTCATTTTATGACATTGCAGGATGTTGTAGATCCTGATAGAGGTTTCATAAAAGATGATTCAATCACGCTTGAGGCTCATGTAGTGGCTGATGCAGTTTTATCGTCAAGATCGTTTTCGGGTCTTATATCGGATATGACATTGTTAATTGAAGTCTCCGACTATTCGTGCATTTCTACAGAGGCGTTTATAATACATTGCAAGATCGAAAATTTTCATCAACTGATAAGTAACACTATACACATGAATTTACAACCATCCACAACGGTATTTAAAAAGGTGAAATCTTTTGAAGGTTCAACTCTTGAATTCATATCTAAAAATGAGAAATCAATTAAATTTATAGTAGGAGAAGAACAGTATGTTATACCAAAAAAATTGTTGTGCGACACCAACAGTAGCTACTTCAAAATTATCTGTCTTACACGCGGTGAAAAGGAAAAAGATATGACAAATGAATTAGCAACGGATAATGAGTTACAAACTTTTAAACAGATTTTAGTATTTATTTTAACTGGCTCAATTAAACAATGTGATTATGAGATGCTTAAAAAGTTGTTAACAGCAGCTGATAAATACGATGTACCGACTTTAAAATTAACGTGTGAATATTATTTGCTACGCTATATTACGATTAAAAATGCTGTGGAACTTATACAGCTTGCGTTGTTGTCTAATGCCAAGTTTTTAGAAACACATTCGACAATTTTTATTAAATTTTACGTAAAAGAAATTATGGACACTAAAGAATTTCAAAACCTACCGCAAGAAGATTTAAATAAGGTATTGGAATTGATTGAGAAATGTGAAACGCTTGAAAGCAGAACAATTCAATCCTTTTCGTCACCACCTAAGACACATAAAAAATCTAATTATAATTATTAACTTTTATATGTATATGAATTTATATTCAAATAAGTATTAATATGGATTATAAATAATTCGTTTTTTGAGTTTTGATATACGAAAGAAACTATTAATAATTGTTTAATATTTAACGTAATTTAATTAAAATTTTCTCAAGTTTACAGGTTGACCTAAAACAAAAAGAAATAAGAATCTTTATAAGCCTACGTTATCTATAAACGTTTTACTTACTTTTGTCAGTACTGTATCTTATTAAAAATTTTCAATCTTTTTTTTTTAGATTATCCTGTGTACATATTACAGTGTGAGAATATTTAGCAAATCTTAGCTACCTTTTTCAACGAGCAAGTTATTTTTCATAAATTTAAATTTGATTTTTGTCTTTTAATGTTTATCGTAATTATAATTATACGTTTTTGATATTGTTATTAATTCGCATTCAGTAAAGTGCGACTAAATCGAAACAGAATCAAATTTATAATTATTCTTAATACATGTAGATAAAAAATCAATGACATGTGTTACGTTATTTGTTTATTTTCTATCAGTTTATTTATCTTTATTTCTTATTCAAAGGCATGTGTGATGTTGAGCAATTTATGTATAGATATATTCAATTTAATACAAATATACGGTCCGATCATCTGCAGATAGAAGAAGAAAATACTTCACACAAATTATATGTTATATGTATTTAATTCAAATTATATGTACAAAAATTTGAATTAAATTTGATGAATTATTTCTTTCTTGAAATCTAGATTTGTTTTGAAAATAAATATAAACAAAACGTGACCTTTTTAGTTAATTTTGTATCTTTTATTAATCTAGTTCCTGCGTTCAATTCGAAATAAAACTTATTTTTATATTATCACTTATTTGGGAAAAAATAATTTGAAAGTAAAGGATAAGGCAAAGTGTGAACAGTGAGAGGTCTGTAACTCGGTAGAAGAAATTTATTTCCAAATAATATGAGTCTTTATAAAGCGGTGGATTAATTTGATTTTTACAGTTTTCAGAGTCAGATTAGTGCAGAATTCGTATAAGTGTTTTATACACAAATTTGATTGATTGAAAAGCGTTATATTTTATTTGTTTGCTGCAACTGACAATGAATTTATTAATTCGCGTGATGTCATCATAATTTACACGAGAATTTAACAGGAAATTACATATGCAAACCAAATTTGGGTTTTATGCCGAATTATGTTTTTATATGAAACCTCAGAGGGAAGAATCCTTATATACGAATTACTCCATTGAGTCTTTAGTTCTTTGTTGGATTTAAAGTAAATCAGTCATATAGAATCATTGAGCTGATTTTTCTGCTGAACGTATAGCTTATAAAGGGTGCATTCTGAAATGTATTAATAACAGTATTGAAAATCCATAAAGTTACATTACGTATGCTTTATATATAAATTTTCAGTACCGTCAGTACATTCAGAATATACCCAACAAAAAATTGAGGTCCCTAAACGTTATGTGACAAAAAAAAAACATTGGTGCCATCGGCGGCCGCCATGCCCGCCATCGCCGGCAGCCGGCATCACTGCAGCCAGTGCAGCCATAATCCATATTGCCGATTGCCGATATTGCGTCAGTGAATCGAGTGACTGCGTTGCGTTGTCCGCGTTTATTTGTTGATCTTTTTTTACATAACCGGTTAACGTAGATTAACGTTGTATTCGCAACAATCGCAACAGGTAACAGTTTGAGAACTCGATTTGATAAAAGGAAATCAGAGAGATCAGTTGCCAAATCTCGCTATACATACACGCAATACACGCATTGATCTAATATCATCATCTAGAGTATCTAGACAGTGATCGAATATCATCGTAGCATATTGATAAAGAAACGCAAGATCTTAGTTCAACTGATTAAGATTCACAGAAAAGTAAGTACGCATAATGGCAAATCGACTAAAGTTCTTAACAGTTCTTTTCTCAACTTCATTGACTACGTGTTGTTAGAACATTAGAGAACACATAAGACTTGAAGCATAACGAATTAAGGTCAATCCAGACAAATTTGAAATTTGCATAGGTGTATAAGCATATGCTTAAAGAATGGATTGGTCTATTTCCTTATGCACATGTGTATGGATCAATCAATTTTCTAATGCTTATGTTTATGCGTTATACAAGTTTGTCTGGATAGACCTTTAATTAATAATGAAATTTCCTGAAGTATCAATTCTAATAATTCTATGCATTCTACCACTACATAGCAAAGAAAATGCATATATTTATACACATATCAAATCTATTTTCTACTAACAGGTGAAATTTCAGTGCAATTAAGTATTAATCAGTAAAATTATTAATACAAAAAGTTCACTTCAGGTAAATCTATTCATCTATTGTATCAGAATTCAAGACGGTACTTACTCTGTTTATATGTAATATAAAAAAATATTTTTAAAATTGGACTTATACATATACATCAATGTGCGTGAAGGAAGATAAAATTTTAACCCTTCGCAGAACATGTATAATTTACTTCTTTCGTCGACCGTGTGGGTTTTTTTAGGGCAGTTAAGATTTTCAAGCTGTAA